TTGCATTTAATGTATTCGTTCGGACCCCTGACGACCGCTCCCGCCTTGTAGGGAAAGCCTCGCCTGCCGAAACCGCGCCCCTTGAAATTCGACCGGGCGGGTGTCACAACTGGAAACCAGACGTCACCTCCTAGAAAATTGGTCACACCAAGTCCAGGAACTCAGGAATTGAGTGACTCAAAAAAGAGTCAAAGCATATTCCAGTATGCATGGCCTTTTGCCATCCGTGCCAACTTCAAATGACAGACATTTATCTGAAATATGCAGGTGAAGGTCGTAGTAGGCTCGTTTCCCCCACCCCCCCCACACCAAGATCCATGTTAGATTCCCTGGTAGGTGTTAATTGGGTGGTTGATTTGCCTAGCGTGTGCCAACATCGGACCCGAAATTTTGGCTCAAAGAAAACGCCACGTCTATTTTTTCATCCTCAATACTGCCTAAAAAAGGGCCCTCACAAAACCATACGGCTCAAAGCACCCAAAAGGGGCCGGACCAGGGCCCCCCACCATCCCCAGCACCCGCAGCTGCTCTTCCGCATCGAGCCTTCAGCACAGTCGGCGCGAGATCGACCCCCTCTGCGGCCACGAAACATGAGCTCACCTGTCGCTGCTCACCTTGCCCGTTGGTTTGGTTATTGGTGGTTTGGAGGCATTCCGGGCTACCTTCCCTTGGTTTCAAGAGTTCCTCTAGGTTCACCAATCACTCGGCCAGAAAGCAACTCAGTTCTCAAATGCCCAGTGGCCATGGGAAAAAAGAGCACCCTTTTATTGGTTGGTTGTTGTAAAGGGGGACCTTCCCCAAAAAAAGTAAAAAAGGATAAAGGGCACCACTGGGCAACTGAGGGTTTCCGTGGGGAAACCCGTCCCCGGCTGCCCTCTGGAGCTATGCCCCCGGCTCTCCGCGCGCCGCCTGCCGCCGCAGCGCCACAAGCAGCTCCTCCGCCTCCGGCGGCACCGGCGCTGCCGGCTCCGCCGGCAGCGCCTCACAGTGCCGGACTCGCGAGGCGGGCGCGCATCGATTGGAGCCAAGGGGCCATGACGACGAGTCCGGGGGTCATTTGCCTGTGGGTCAAAAATACCCAAAATGGAACCCTGGTAGAAGGAAGCATGGACTAAAACCTGCGGTCCCTGGTGGTTTAAGTTTGACCCACAGCCATGTGGGGATTCCCTTGAACATCGTACTGAAGTAGAGGCTACGAAACACACTCCGTTTTGGGGGGGTCCCCCTAAAGACGGACACACACAGGTTTTTCTCCTAGGGTTCCAGATAAAAACTCCCATCTGGCTGTGGCTCCTTCTTTTTCGGGGCTACCCCTTTCTGGGCGTCTTTTTGGCTGGGAACCAAAAGGAAAAACCGAAGGAAGCCATGTCGGGTTCCCTTCACCAATGACACAGGCCATCTTACCCACCAGCTTTTACTCTGCAACGCAGCCCAGTCAAACACCCAGTCAGCCCGGCGTGGCCCAATTATGGGGTACACCAAAATGAGACTCTCAGATGGCTCATCTTCCGTCTGCCCGAACCAAAAGATGACCCAAAGGAGACCCCGGAAACGGGTCCCGAATCAGGAGCGGGCGCGGTAGTTTTTTTAAAGGCAGCGGGGGGGTTGAGGGTTGGCGGGGGTGGCTTCCCCTATGATGTTCGAAGAAGTGCATACATACAGACATACATGGATGACATAGATTACCTAATTGTCGTGTTTTACAGCGTTTTCTCGCGAAATTGGACGCTCGAAAAAGTGATGCTTCAAATAGGAGTGCATTTAATTTCTGCAAGAAATCCAATAAGTAGCGGGGGGGCTGGGGAGGCGGCAGCCCCCCCCCCATGATGTTTGAAGAAGTGTTGATTCAAACAAGGAGATAACTGGTGATGCTGATGATGCGGGAAGCAAATTCCAAAAACCAATGGAAAGCAAAAACGCCCAGAGAGGAACTGGGAAAGCAGAGGATGCGAAAAGCCAAAGCCGCCAAAAGCCGCATAAACCAGAGAAAAGCAGCAAAAGCCAAAACGCCACCTGCCGAAGAGGAACTGGGAATGCAGAGGATGCGGCAAGCCAAAGCCAAAAACCACCAAAAGCTGCATAAACCAACAAGAAGCCGAAAAGCCAAGAAGCCGAAAAGCCAAGAAGCCGAGAAGCCAAGAAGCCAAAAAGCGAAGAAAACAAAAATGAGGAACAAAAATGAGGAAAAAACACGAGAAAAAGAACCCAAAATACTCCCTCCCTTCCAAAACCCGTCTATCTTGGCAAGCAACCTTCTTCACAGCCCAAGAAAACATAAACAGGACCAACCAAACAAACGAACTGAAACAAGTATGCCAGGAACAGTAAACTGTAAATGGTAGCCCCTGTCTTTCCCCGTGAAGCTGAACGTTCTCCCACCTCGTCGTCGAGCTCGCCGAAGCTCGAAACGGACGCAGAGGACCCACTCTCCGGCCTCGCTCGGGCGGTCCCATGGAACCTTCGCAGCCCATCAAGCCCTGCACGGGGAGAGGCCCCTTGTAGCCACGGCAAACGAACATGCCTACTGTGGATGGACGAAATCCTGCACCACACAAGAAACCCTAGAATGATGATTCCCCTGTGAATACCAACAAAAAATGGTTTCCCATGGTTTCCAAGTGGTGCAGGATTTTGTCCATCCACAGTAGGTCATCTAGTAGAGAGGTTAGAATAAGTTGGTACCGTTTCTTCTTCTTCCTTTTTTTTCTGGGAATAAGGGTACCCGATTTTTTCTCGGTTTGTATATTTTAGTAGGGGAACCCTCCCAACCCAAAAAAGAAACGGTAAAAGGGCACCACTGGGGGACTTAGATGTGGTTGCGACATCCACACATCGCACCACGAAAGGAAACCACGGAGTTGAAACCAGAACGTTTCTTTGTATTTACAGGGGAATCATCATTGGGTTTCTGAACGGTGGTGCGGGGCTTCGTCCATCCACAGTGTTATATCCATTGCCTTTTTAAAGCCGACGAGAGCAAATCCCGACTGAGGGTTGTTGAACTAGCAAATCTTCACCCAAACGGTGATCCTGGATCGGGGGTGGGACCGCCAAAAAACATATCGGGGGCGGTAAATGCATGTGTATGACACAACTCACTTGCTGAGCGGACTGGCGCAAGCTTGAATTTCGCAATGTCCGGTTTACTAAACTTACATTTGTTGCGTCCACTGGAACAAATAAACATATATCCAGATTCCCTTGAAAGCCAACAGAGGAAAATAAACAATATTGTTGAGGAACCGGGAGTAAAAGCAATGTCGTCCCAGAAAGTGACTCTCCCGAAAAAGGCCGGGAAGTGACTTTTCTTGTCGTTTTCGTGGCTTCAATGGAACACCCTCCGCAAAAAGTCGTTGTTTTTTTTTTCAGAGGAACCATGGGATAATTCCTTGATTCCCCCCAAAAAGAAGGGGTCTGTCCCAAGGGCAAGTCCAGAACCTTAGGGAGCGAGAGGCCAAGGCTTCCAAGCTCAGTGAAACGCGCAGGAACCTCCGGCTCGGCTTTCCAGCAGATCATAAAGCAACCGTTCAAAGAAACCAAAGGCCGCCAAGAAAACCTGGAAGCTGTTCCAGGCTTCCAAAGTCTTGTGAAAAAGGGGGCACGGGGACAATTGTTGTCTCGGTTGCTTTCTGCTCCCCTGCTAAAAGCTTAACTTTTAGTGGTTTGGCGGAAAACCCATTAGTTCGCAAAAAGTTAAAGTCCTAACAGCCAAGCAAAATGTACCAAAGTTGTCTTAGAAGAGTTCGAAGTCAAGAATTCTTTGCGAAGCTGACCTTTTTGGGACCTCTCTCAGCTTTAAACATATGCGAAAAGGTCGGAGTTGTTCAGCATTCAACTCCGAAACATGGAAGAAGGTAAGTGTTTGAGCACTCAACCCAAAAGCATGCAAAAAGATCAAAAGAGGCCTTGGGTTTTGAAGCTTTGCAGCTTAGGCCCAGCTTTCAGATCCGATGGGCTTCGATGGGTGCCCCGGACCGTGGGAGGTTCATGGGCAGCGGGACGTCTGCCAAGACGCCTCGGGTGACGCTTGGCGGGTGTGGTGTGGTCCTCAAACGAACAGGTTCGGTGATTTGGTGCTTCGGTAGTGTGGTCCTAAAACTCATCACCATGCATTAAAACTGAAAATTGCAGCTTCATCATCCAAGTTTTCTCCTTGCCATGCTTTGAATGGGGATTGAACCCTAGGGAACAGGTTGTTCTGGTGGACTCTGTTTGGAGCGCGTGGGCTTGGGTTGGTAGTTTTGCTTGGCGGGGGGGATTTTACTTCAGTATAATCACACACTTCCCTGAGTGGATTGGCCAAAACAAGTCTGAACTGTTCATTTGCCACCAAAATGGTCTGCCCGGGTATGCCAGCAAATCATGTCCTTCATTTGCTTGAGCCCCCCGGAAAATCTATCCATGTCCAGTGACAAATTCCCCTCAAACCCAGCAGGGGAAACAAAATATAATCTTAAGCAAATGTAACACATTTTCCTTTGCAGCCGCTAAAGCTGAATAGGACCCAAAAACGGGAAACAATAAGCGATGTCAACGAACAGTGAAACAACTGCCCCTGAACCGCGAATCCGCCCTTTTCGCGGTAGAGAAAGGACCCCTCGGGAATCCACCGATGTGTTCGCCAGCGAGGTCCCTTCTTGTTGACATTGACCCATTTTAATAAACCCTGCCTGCGGAGTTGTTGGTCTTCACGCCAGGGCGATCCGGATCCCCTGGTAAAACAGGGAACGCCTCCAAAGGGCCAAAGGTGGCAGACTGGTTTGGGTATGAAGCTTGGGGGAGCAGTTGGGGAACAGGATTTCTGACTACCACTTTTCAGGTCCCGGTTCCCTTTTAATACATAGAGTCAGCTACCCTCCCTCCCTCTAACATGGAAGCTCCCAAAAGTCCACCGCACATACATCCAAGTCTTGCATTTCGGGGTCCGTTCGGGAGCTTCCATGAGAGCCTCGGGGGAAAACATCATTCCGGCAGCTCCTGCGGTCAAGCGCCTCTTTGAATCCTCTTCGAATCCGCGTTGAATCGGAGCCTCCACGGCGCCTCAAGCGCAGAAGGCTCACTGCTAGGTAGCTAGATGTCGCTAGGTCGACTTCTCCTGGCAAAGTGGCGCAGGCTGCAGTGCCAGCTTCATATTGCAGGTAACTCCATAAATTTGCCGTAGGTGGCCACCTTAATCTTCCAGGACCCTGAAAAAGCAGGCCTTTGGCTGATTTTCCTTTTTCAACCAAGAGCAAAATCAAGAAGGACCCTATTTTTGCGGGCCCTTGGAAGACCAAGGCCATGGTTTCAGGAGTAAGTGTGGTTTGCTAGTCATCTTTCGGGCATCCATGAAAACGTGCCGATTCTTTTCAGTGAGCATTCTTTCGAGGAAACTGAAATTACCAGGGGCAACGGCCAGTTTTTGGAACAAAGAATTGGTTTCTTCACCACGGGCGTTGCAAATCCCCTGGATCCGAGTTCGCCCATATCAATATCAATATCACGTGCGTGGTGCGAAAGGTAGTGTGCATACTGCGCAAAAGTCTGCCTAAAGAAGGTTGCAAGGGCCCATCCATTTAAGTACAAAGGTAAGGTCCGGCCAACGCCACTGTTTCCGGGATCCCTACATTATACACCTGAACATTGCCTTGTAAATGGTGGTGTCCCTTTATTTGGTGGAAAAAGCCATGTCCCAAATGGGCAACATGTATCTTTTCAGGAGCCCTGTTTCCTGAAAAAACAAATTCTCTCGCACCCAACGGTCCTTCTCCTTCTTCTCCTTCTTTTCCTTCTTTTCCTTCTTCTCCTTCAGGACTGCTGAAAACAAAGTCCCTGCTGTGGGTGGACAAAATCAGTTCGCACTACCAACCAACACAGGGTTTCCCATGGTTCCTTAGGTGGTGCGAAATGGATTTCCTCCATCCACAGTAGGGAGAAAACGTTGCCAACACTATGGGAAATGGCAACCATTGTCCTTCCCAAAAGCAAATAGTTCCTGTACTCAAGTCTGCTTTTTCTGGGCGCGCCGTTCTGGTTGGCCTAGAAAGGGTAAGCCAAGAGCAGCGCCACAATTGGCTTACTGGGCTGCCCTCAGGTTAGTTTTTAGTGGGATAAATGGAAACTACCACTAAACACTAATAAGCAAGGGGATGGCTGGGAGCCACCAAGTTGATTTTCTGCCCTTTGACACATTGCCCAAGCAAACCGGACCCAACTCCCTAAAGTGCACCGAGCGCAACATGTCCGGACTTCCCGCGTCTCAGCGTCTCAGCCCAAGGGATCTGGAAATAAAAGCTGAACCTTTCCAGGAGGAAAAAAAAAAAAGCAGCCGCCACGGGGCCTGTGCCTTGAAACACTGCACTGAACCACTGCAAAACAGACCAATGGCCCTCCAAAAATAGTGAACTTGCTGAACATGGGCTCGGCCGGCGTCTGTGAATTGTGATCCCAGGCGGCCAAAAAAGAAACATGTCAGTGTTCCTACTTTGGACGAACTCCTGCAGACTGAATCCATGGGAAGTCATGGTTCGTTGAAGCATTTGTAGGGGGAATCATCCTTCCCGGCTTTCTTAGGTGGTGCGAAATGGATTTCGTCCACAGTATCAGCTACAAATCCTAGTCTAAGAACACCTTGAATAAATGAGTGTAAGATTTTGGCCTTGGTACCTTTGTCTTGTGTGAATGCGAGTGCCTGCTAAATGCAAAAATCTATCAGGAGATCAATGTTTAGCTAGATTTCAGGAGAACACATATACAATTCCACGGTAAATACTGGGGAACTGGTCTAGGGTGCAGATCCTAGAACTTAGAATGGGTATTAGATAATACTATCTACTAAATGAATACTGGAATATTGCAAACAACAATCGTTGTGATTAAACACCTCTTTGTCCTAATTCTAGCCTACTCCATCCATGCTGGGGCCACTAATAATTCACCAAAAAGGGCAAACGAAAGGTCAGATCCGGTTGATTCGCTTTGGTTGCAAGTGAGGTGTTGACTTGTGTCTTCTTTTCATTCAATCAACCGTAAAATCAAAAATCCTCTGTGAGGAGCTGTCCAACCCTTGGTATGGTAGCAAAACACTTTGACGTTTTGCAGCCCCCTACTAAGCATGAACACCTCCGAAAGAGTGAGCTATAGCCTTCCTTCGCTCTCCTTGGAAAGGGCACCTATCTTGTGCCGCTTTTCCAACGCCCGCTTGATCTTGGCGTGGATGTTGAAGGCGCCCTTCTCTTTGAGGTTGCTGTATTTTCTGAGAAGCTTCCTTGGGCAGCAGCCCCCAGAAATTCAAAGTCAGAAAGCAAACATGGGGGGTGGGCTTAGGCTGGTGCTTTGAAAGTCCGAGTTTTGCCCGCCGCGTTCTTTTCTTGGCTGAGGGTGGGGTGGTTAGGCTGGTTTGGAAGTTGAGCTTGTTGCCCCTGCCTTGTTCTTTTCTTTGGCTGAACCATGGGTTTACTTCTATTTGCATAAACCCGGGGAAAAATGAGAACATATTTCCAGTAGTGTAAATGCTCAAGCCACACATCCAAGACACTTCAGGCAATACCGCGAAGCAAGCCCGTGGGGTCCCATTAGATCAAACGCTCCTGGCGGCCAGCTGGATAACCCAACCACCTGGCCGCAAAACCCTTGTCCCCATAGGTGTCCTTTTTAGAGAAATCCATGGGTGTCCCTGGTTAAAAAAAAAAAAATCTCTGGCAAATAGATGGGCTTTCGTTCCTGGCAGGTGGGATTTTGGAAAAATCGATGGGGTTCTGGTACTTGGAAACTAAACACACAGGTCAACCAGTAGAACCCATCTATTTCTGATCCACCTAACCTGAAAAGGTCGCCTATGCTCGTCCCAATATGGCGAACTGGGCATCCACCGAGCCCCAAACCAGTCTGTCAAGGTGAAACCTTGGCCTCTTTTTTCACGAGGGGACAAGTGGTTTCCCTCGGTTCCCTTTTACTTTCCCTGTAAACCCCAAAAAACAAGCGGTGCCCTAAAAAAACACACACACACACACACACACCTCCCAAGCGCGCAATCGGCACTCCGCACTCCAGGAGTGCAGTGCATCGAAGCCGCTTGTGGTCATCGAGCTGCTTCACGCCATACCTTGGGGTGGGGGGTTCCCACAGACCGCCCTTCGCCACTTACCGTCCTTCGTCTGCTTCCGCTGCCACCCGGACCTCCTCGCTGAAAAATGCAGGATACACCAATGCCCTGGTAAAAATGGGGTTGGGACTACAACCTGCAGTGCCCTAGAATGCCCTGGTGTCCTTTCGACCCGTACCCGGGTATGCACTCTCTTGAACCAAAAGAGTGGTTTCCAGGGCTCGATTGTTCGATCGATGGAACCCCCCCCTCAGTTTGAGCCTACCCGGTCAAAACACAAACCCTGGCCCTGGGACATACAGCGACACACCCAGAAATGTGTTCCTCGGTTGGCTTGAGGATACTGGAACTCTTGGGACTAAACATGAAGCAACTGAAAAAGAAGCAAACCCAAATATGCATACCGGTGTTTAAAAATTTACTGAGGCACCTACAAACTGATCCACGATTGACCCGGGGAGCGGTCTTTCCCTGCAAAGCAGTCTCAGTGACCCCTGCCCAAAAACCGGACTAAAGAGAAACAAGTCAAAATGTGAGGCCATGGCAAGGCAGCACAAGATGAAGTCACCATCCTCTAAACATGTCTAAACCTCCATTTGCTGTAAGTTCCCCGCAAGAATAATAATAAAATATGTCCAGTAGGGATAGGTTCCCTTTAAAAAAAACAGGGAAAAGAAACATATTCTTAAGCAAATGCAAGCAAACGAATACCCTCCAAATGGTGGTTGAAAGGAAGGCCGCAACCAAAAGTAACTGGTGAATCCAAAATGTAGGGTGAAGGTAGATGGGTTTCGTCGCCGCCACTTACGGACATGCAAGACAAATCGCGCCATCGACTTTCACCCTTGGAACCACTTCACGTTGCTCCCGGGGTCCCTGGCAGCCGAATTTCTTCGAAAACCCGCAGAATCAAAACGCAGGGAGTTATTGAAACCTCACGTCCTGAGTCGATGGTACAAAAAGCCAACTTTTTCTGGCCCTAGCTAAAGGTCCTTAGACGTTGAGGTCGAATGAAGCCGGACGGAGGTCGAAAGGTCGACACCAAGGGCCGGCCAAGCGTAACCACCAGGAATTCACGTGGCGCCCGCCCAAAAGCTTTGTATTTTCTGAATAAGAGCCTCTCCAAAACTGGTCTGCCCTCAGATCCCCCGCTAAAAGTTTAACTTTTGGTGGTTTAAATGGAAACTACCACTAAAAACTAAAAGGCTGAAACGCTTCAGAACCGGACGGCAGGGACCAAGAAATGGCTGGATTCTTTTTAGGTTCCATGTTCTGGGGAGTTCAACCAATGGCATGCAGCTCCGAGCTGCTCCACGCAGAACCTGATGGCGATGATGCTGTCCGGCTTCTCCTCCAGCCTGGGCTTTCGTGAGCTGTTGTTTGTAGAACGACCCCCCCAAAGAAAAAAAAGGTGCCCAAAAAAATGGGGGGGGGGGGTTCCAAAAGTTTCCAAAAAAAAAATAGGTTGTTCCACAAAAGTTTCCAAAAACGTTTCCAAAACATGTGTTCAACAAATAGGGTTTCCAAAAACGTGTCCAACAAATGTATGCAACCATTGTTCTTACACAAAACCAGCCGATCGCAGTTTTGGTTTTGTTTTTGTGTGTTGTTTTGTGTTTTTTCTCTTTCCTTTTTTTTCTCTTTTCTTTCTGGGTTTCCAACTATTGTTTCCAAGGGGTTGTGTCCAGCCATTCTTTGCAACCATCGTTCTTATCGAAAACCAGCCGATCGCCGTTTCCCGAGGTTTTCTGGATTTTTCTTAGAAGGATCCCTGGAAAGAATGGGGAAGGTACCCCTAGCAAAATGCGGGATTTCAGCTTTGCGTTTTCCTTGAAAAACCAGCCAAAAGGGGGAAGGCGAAACGAATATAAAGAAAGCCATTTCAGGTTGAAAAAGGAATATCGGTTGGCCTTTGGGCCCCTGCAACACCTTATCTGCTTGGCAGTAGGAAAGCCATCGTCCAACAGGTTTACAGGTGCAGCGTTTCACTGATTGAGCTCACCTATTTTGGCACCCACTCACTTCCTGACAAACACAAGTGTGTACGTGTTTGCTTGCCATGGTCGGGTGGGGGGGGGGGGTTCCCTAAGGCTCCTAGATAATCCGAAGGAACCCTAAGGAACCCTAGGCATCTTACTACCCACCCCCCAATGGTTCCTAATTACCTCAGCTCCCCACCCACCCCCCCCCCCCGCCCAAATCGAAGCGAGGCTGCAGTGACTCGTAGAAGGCCCTTGTAGGATCCGCCACCGGGGGCGTGAGGAACTTCCTGAAGATCCAAACCACGGCTCCTTTTAGGGGACTCGGAGCATTTGTTCAAACCACACGCACAAGACAAAGGTTGAAACTATGGCAAATAGGTTGGGGCTACAACTTGGTCCCCCTATATGTTCCCCTTTTGAAAGCGACTTGTTAGCACACATATTTCAACGCCACGGCCTTGGCTTGGCGTGCGTCGTTGAAACATCCTCAAGCTCACCCCCGGACAGCAGACCGCACAATTGGACCCTTTGGGGCCGCTCAGGAAACCAAAGAAACCACAGGCACTCACCCAGATGCCACTCCAGTCGGGAAGTTTTGGGCCAGCTTTGTTCATGACCAACGTCTTCAGGCATGGTTTTTGGAGGCACGGATGCCTCTATGCCACCAGGAACGTGTCAAAATGGGGGGGGGGGTGTGGGGACGCCCAAACATTCCGTATTCCTGATTGTTTTGCCCCGAAATCCACCAACCTAAACTTGTTCACGCGCGCCCCCCACATGTGGTATGTGTTTTGCACGTACTGGAAGGGGGGGGAGCTGCTGTTTGATGCCCGTGGCCGGGGGGGCGGGTGGGAAGTCGAACTCGCCTTCCTAAAAGCTTCGAAGGGGTCGAGCGAACTCCAGGCCCTGACCGGGCACCAACTGGTCCATGTGTTGTGTTTTTTTTGCTCTCCCCGTTTTTTGTTTCCTTTTTTTTCCCCGCTACCCGTTTAAAAAAAAGAGAGAAAATATAACCTAACTAGGTCCTCCCAGTAGAGAGGTTAGGGTACCCACTTTTTTAAGTAGTCTATTCTAGTAGGGAAACCCTCCCCCCCAAAAAGTTGGTCAAAGGGCACTACTGGGGGACCTGCATATATGTCCAGTAGTGAAATTGATTCCCTTTGAAACCAACAAGAAAAGAAGCATATATAAGCAAATGGAAGTGTTTGGTGCGCGGGAGTAATTCAAGGGATTACGAACTGGCAACCGGAATCAGGTGAACTCATTCATGTTCCTACTGGGGGTGGCTGAAACATAGACTAAAACCAACAAAAAAGACACACCCAAATCACCTGATTTCGATGCGGATCCTGGGAAAAAATGCCAGTGGCTGGATGTATCCCGAAGCCCTTAAAAGTGATGTCCTTGAAGTTTTACATGGATGGCTTTCTCTTTTCTAGGATTTGGACCCCCCGCGAATGGTGGTCCTTTTGGCTTCCCTGCTGTTAACACCCCCAGAAAAAGACGAGCCGAGACGCCCACATAACCCCCACCCCCCCCCAAAAAAAAAGAAACTAAAAAAACTTGAGAACCACCGGTTTCCGCCCAGAAATCGAGAAGTGTTCACTCTTTTCGGTGGCGGGTCCGTTCAGATCGAGGCGCTGTCCGTCTTTGAAGGTCTTCCGAAAGTCCATGACCTTCTTCTTCTTGTTCGGGCTGCCCTGGAATGGATTGGGTGCACAATTTTGTTTGACATTAATTAAAACCATGTTTCTTGCCACGAAAAAATGCTGCTTGCTTCTTCTTGACATTCGGGCATTTCTCCTTGACATTCCTTAATGTCGAAACAAAATGGAGCTCAAATGGATTGCAGCTGCATGCAGCTGCATGGCTGGGGGAACTGAATCGGATACACTGGGGTACTTGAAATTGGGTGATTCCTTTCTCACCTCAAGGGACCTAGCAATCAAAAGTGACCACCTTTTGGCACGACTAGAAATGGACCAACCAGGGAAACCAAAGGTGAAAAGGTCGATTCGCTTCAAAGGGAAGCTATATCATGACTGGTGAAGATGTATTCCGTCAGTGGTGCAGGCCAGGTGGGGGGGGACCTCTCTCCTTTTGCGCCGAGGTCTTCAAAGCTTCGTTCCGGAGCCTAGGACCCAACAAGTCTACCACCCTCCCTCTACGGTAGACTCTACCTGTGAGATGGTAGCCGGAAAGGGGATTTCCTCTAGGGGCCGGGTCCCTGTCAGGTGCCTTGGCAAGGTGGGAGTAAGGCCTCGTGGCTGTAGGACATAATCCTTTCTGCGAGGGGAGCCCAAATAAGCCCCAAATAAGTCTTATTGAGGCCATATTTAGGGCTTATGTGTCCCTTCCCCCTCCCCTCCATAGCCCCCATGACTTTTTGTTTCTTTCTTTTTTGTGGCGGCTATGTTGCTTGAAATGGGAATGCCTTGACATCACAGAAAATGGTCCCAAAACCCAAGCCATGGTGTGATAAACAAATGGAAAAAACAAGAACACAATCCAGATCCAAGCAGAGCGCTGCCCGCCAAAACCGGGGACTCATACCCGTGCATGGACAGAATCCATGTCGACTTTGAAACCATAGCGCTGGTCGGTATTCAAATTGCAGGGGAATCGAATCGTTGGGTTTCTGAACGCTGGCGCGCCCGGGATCAACCTTGGGGCTCCAGTGACCCTGAAGGTCGTGGCGATTTGGCCACGAAGAAACCACGGGCCCCAACAATTGACTGGGGGGCCATGCTGAGATGGTTGGAAGCACCAACCTGTTACCTCCATGTGCTCCCCTTTGAAGGATACGGTACCGGTTGGAAGGGTGGTGGTTCACGAATCTTGCAACCAACCCAGGTTCAAACTCAACTTGGGTACATCTGAACAAATGTAAGTGGTGGTTAGGGCGGCCATGGGCCAAACGTGCCTCCCAAATCGGACCTTGCCCTTGCCACCGGGCAAGATGTCTAGAACCCAGCCATAGAGACAAAAGAGGGCTGGGTTTGATGTTGCCTCAGAACATCCTTCATTCATCGGGCGTCTGATTGGCGAGGGACCCTGTATTTGGCTGCTTGGTTCTTCTTCTTTGGGGGGGCCCAAGAGCAAGCACAACTTTCTGGGGTTTGCTTGATCTCGAGACAAACCCGTTCCGCGTTCTGCAAGGCCATTTGGGACCCCAAGCGACCTTCCCCTGCACGCCTCCATCTTGCTAGTCAGGCCGTTCCCCCGGCCGCGAGCTCAGGAAAGGGTCTTGGGCCAAAAAAAAAGCGGCGCGGGCTGGACGTGTCGACATCCAATTCACGAAGCAGGGTGGTTAAATTGATCTGCGTACGCGTACATACGTATATGCATGGGTGCGTGCGTGAATGCATGCGTGCGTGCGTGTCAGTGTCAAGCCTATTCAATTCAAGCACCTTTCGACAGGTTGGGACTTGTTGCCACTAAAGAACTCAAGAGCATTGAAGCGGTTTGATGTCTTCTTGAATTAATTGGGCTTTAAAACAGAAACTACCCCGCCCACCCCACCCACCCCACCCACCCCACCCACCCCACCCCACCCACCCCACCCACCCCACCCACCCCACCCACCCCACCCACCCCACCCCACTCACCCACCCACCCGCTCACCCCTCAGCCACCCGGCGGTCATCCTCGGGCGCTTCACTGGCCTGGCGGTCCCACGACCCTTTTGTTTTCAACTGACCAGTTGCTCCGCAACCCCGATAGCTTGGTTGACGTTGGAAGGGGAGCAAACATTTAAATTTTAGCAGTTTGGTTCTCAAAACAGTTGGTAACCCCAAGAATGGGTTGCCCTGCTACATGGAAGCATGGACTATAAAACCTGCGGTGCCCTGGTGCTTTTTCATTCTGATCCATACCCATACGGCTCTCAAGAGAAACCAACAGAAACCTAGGCACTGCAGTCGCTAGCCTCCCTTAGGAAGAGCGCAAAGCTGTACCAAGGCAGACTTAACAACTGACCCTGGAAAAAACTACCCCCGCTCAGAACAAAGAACACCGCACAACATATCTTTAAAAAAAGGGGGGGACGACATCAAAAAAAGAAGAAATCAAAAGGACATTGGAAAATGGAGAAGCTCGGCACCTGTGGACTGATCCACCGGCCTCCGCTTCGCCGGCGGAGTTGCCGTCCAACCTCCGTGTGACCGCTGGTTGATTGCAAAACCAAGCATGGCCGCTGGTTGATGAATTTTATGCTCAAGGCAATCTAAACTCTCATGGCCTGTCAGGGGTTTATACGCAAGCTGATTTGATTACCTTGGAATTTATTCTCACTTTCAGCTTCTGTCAGGGCGATCCAAACCACCAATTCAGTGTCTGACTCCACTCGCTTCCATGGATGGGAAGCAGGACAGGTCCATGTGTTGCTTCCCAAGCCTTCTTTCTAAAAAACCAGCTAAAACCCTCAGGAAACAGCTGGTTTTCAAAAAGAACGATGGGTTGAAAAGAATGGGGAATCAACCCCTAGAATAGTAAGCCTTACAAATGAAGTCCAAGGAGAGATGCCGGGGAGCAGCGAGGGAATCCCCGCGAGGTTCCACTGCCTTGGCCCCGAAACTTGCCCACGTCTCTTCCTTTGTTTCCCAGAATGGTCAGGCTACTGTGGCTGGACGAAATCGAAACCCTCAAATGATGATTGACGTGGAAATACCAACAAACACTGATTTTGCATGGATTCAAAGTGGTGCAAGATTTCGTCCATCCACAGTGGTTGGACTGAACGCAAAACTGCCCGTGGGCTCGAACCCACGCCACGCTGCTTGGGGCCGCCGGACTTTTGACACCTGCTTGCATGAGGGGATCCACCCTTCCGAACCCTTGTGCTCCGCACCAAAAAGGACGTTGATCCTCAACCAAGACATCAGCTTCCCACAAATTGGTACCAGAAAATCAAGTCCCCAAACCACCAATCCAAACCAAGACCGGGGTCTCCAAATCTGTGGGGAGAGAAAACAACAAGCGGACCTAGGCCCAGACTCCAAACACAACTTGGGACATGGTTGCTTCCGCCCCATGGACAAAATCAGGCCTGGAAACTGTTTGGGGGGGGTTCTTGCCCCAGACCATTTTGGCAAAACCATCCTCGCGGATGAATTTTGCAAAGGGTGCCCTGTACCCATCGTCATGTGGGTGTCTTTGCTTGGGGTGTCTTTGCTTGGGGTGCCTCTCGGTTGCTTTCTGCTCCCCTGCTAAAAGTTTAACTTTTAGTGGTTTAGTGGAAAACCCAATAGTTGGCAAAAAGTTAGAGTCTTAACAGCCAGCAAATCGCACCAAAGACATGGTGGTTCTCCTTTTGGCTTCTCTTCAAAACAAAAACGCAACAAGTGACCACGGCTGATGACCTTTGCTCAGCCATTCGCTAGGCTTCTTGGCTTCTGGGGAGCTTTTTCTTACGCTCCTAACTTGGCCTTGGCCTGGCGTCCTCGCCTGGGTTGCATTTGTGTTTGTTACTCTCCAGGGGATGAAGATGGAAGCCAAACAACCGGACCTTTTTGGAGGAACCTCCGTCTTGGGTTCCAGGTCAATGTGCAGGGTGGCACGTTTTTGGTGTTCTCTCTTTTTCCTGGGGGAGGGGGGGATCATGTGAACCAGAAAGGTACCCCACCCCTTCCCCCCCACCAAATCGGCCCGCTTGCTGTCGCAACTTCCTTTCGCGCCGAGGCCCGAGGCCCGTGCGACGTGTCCGCCGTGTCGCCCTGAGCCGCTTCTTTGGGGCCATAAAGGCTGCAAGTTTTTGCCTAGTGCTCTGGTCAGGTTCCAGACAGGTCGTTTTTTATGACGGTCATGCTCCAGGAAGCTTGGCATACTTCAAAGGGGCAATTCTACTTGTGGATTGCTTTGTATCGGGATCCATTTCCCACAAGTGACCCAGAACAGTATTCTTCAAGGTATGTTGTTTTTCTAGAAATCACTTCGTGGCTGGGGGGGGGGGTGGTACCGGGGGGAAAGGTACCCTTGGCTGATTGTTGTGGCACTTGCTTTTTTTGACCCCACATAAACTGATCATCATGAAAATGGACTCCAACATATTGATATTTGGTTGGCGTCATGCAGGGGCAAAGATTGGAACTGGAATCAACAAGCATGTAAACATGCTTAGAGGCGACGCACCTTTGGCTTGATTTTAGTTCTGGTTTATTTAGTGCAAATGACTTGGGGGATACCCTTGGCTGATCGTAGGATGCTTTGAGAAGCTACATGAGTCATAATCAAAACCCCGGTATTAAAATGGCCTACCCAGAACCATGTAAAGAATTAAGAAGGCGGATATCCGCAGCTATTTATGGTTGGGATGGTCCCTGACTAACTTTCATCTACCCGGGTTTTCATTGTGGCTCACATGAAGAAATCGACATGAACATGGACACTCAGAAATTGTTGTTGTTGTTGTTGTTTGTTTTCTTGTTTTGTGGGGTTTGCACTCGGGCCCAGCCGGGTTGGAAGGGCTGAACTGGGTCCAGTTTACTTGATTACTGTTGACCCCCCCTGCAAAAAGTTTAACTTTTTGGGGGTTTAGTGGAAAACCCCTTGATTTCCCAAAAAGTTAAAGTCTAAAGATCCAACCCAATAGCAGTCAAGTTTAACTATACCGTTGGTTTGGGGATTTGTTGAGCTTTGTCAGAGCAATTAACGAGTGGACCCCACATCAGCTCTCGCACGCCCGCTTTCTTTGCCGCAAAACGAGTCAGGCAGGCTGGACAAAGCCCATAAGCGGACTCGGCAGCCATCAAACAAGGGCCAAGCGCCCGCCGGCCGCCAAGCCTCCAAGACCGAAAAAACAGCTGGGGTGAAACTAAAAGTTTTTGGGCCAAATGAAGTGAACCACTCACCTCCTGGATTGGCCAGAAAACGGCTGAACTGTTTGTTGACAACAGAAATGGCTTCCCAAAAAGTATAACAGTCCAGGAACTCAGGAAGTGAGGCCAAATCCGCACAAAGTGCACTTGAAGGGATCCATGATCCACGAGCTCGCGAGCCTCATGTCTGCCAATGTCTGCAATGTGCCAGATATTGGTGGGGCAAACGTACGGGAGGTCAGGGGCAAGTAGCATCCGCAAATGAATCATAGGGGCCGCTGGGATGTCGGATCCCGAAATGCTGGCCTCCTGGCCTCCCAAAATGAGGAACGGACATGCAGGCAGGCTCGCAAAGTACCAAGGTCCTATGCGTGCCTGCCGCACTGGGCAACTTGTAACATAATTCCAAAGCCTGAAACAAGAAAAAACAAGGACCTACATCACCTCCGAATCGGTGGGCTCGTTGTAAACTGCCGTAGTGTAGGTAGTGTTGTCATCTTTGGATTCAGGATGTCGACAATGTCACCAGAACAACTAACATAACGGATCCGTTTGAGTCTTTAACGTCAGCCAGTTCGGGTTTCGAAGTGGCGTGTTCATTTACTTAGATGACTTAGATACTGTGGAAGGACGAAATTGATTTCGCACCACCCAGAAAACCCTGGAATAAAGAATCCCCTGTAAATACCAACCAACGTTATGGTTTCAACGGACTTCGTCCATCCAGTATTGGCTCAGGGTCGAAAGGCTCCATCCGTCTGCTGCAGGATTTTCAGTCCGTCTACATTCCCATCGATGTTCTTCATGTTCTTCCGAGTACATTGCCCACCATTCGAGAAAATAACTAAAAGTGAACAAAGCAAACACAAACGCATAAGCCTAAAGAGCACGTTCAGAGTAAGAACTAAAACACCCATATTCCATGTGCAAACAATGCAAAAAATACTATAGTTCCAAAAGCTCAATTGAGGGAAAGGACCTTCTCATGGCTTTCGCTCGTTCTACCTCCGAAAGAGCTCGCTCTAAGACAGGCAGATCCCTGCATTCGCGGGCACCGGGATTCATTCGACGGCTGTCCGTCCGTCCGTTTCGAGCTGGCGATGGGCCGTGCCCGGTTTTCTCCCCCCCAAGGTCGTCTCAAAGGACTTGGCCACGGTTGCTTGGCCTCAAAAGTCGCTGCTGTGGAGATGTTCATTTTGAGGATGCCGGCGTCACATTTGAGTCACAATCACAACCCCGGTACTAAAATGGTAGACCCAGAACCATGTGAAGAACTAAGAAGGCGGATATCCGCGGCTATTTATGGTTGGGATTGTCCCTTAGTAACCTTCATCTACCCGAAATCGGTTTTGATTGTGGCTCATTTGACTTCCCCCTAAGTTGGTTCTGCTTGTGGGAGCTCCGACAAAGAACAAACAGGAAACTTGGTGGCTATCACGAACCTGCCTGGATATCATTGAAACGATCGCCAATTTCGGAGGTCCAAACAATGAGAAACTGAAGGAGGCCCCGTGCCCCTGACCTCACAGTTCTCAGCTTTTGCGCATATGCTGCCCGCTTAGCACGCACGCTGGGGCGCCTTACAAAAGTTGAAGATGGGGAAATCAACCAAAACAACCAAACAGTTACTCCCCTACAAATGACCGTCTTTTGGATGGGGTAAATGTTCCGTTCGCCGCACCTAAAAAACCCTGAAATAAATATAAGTCTGTCCTCACATTCCCAATGTTCTTCACGTTCCGTGAACAACCACGCACAGTAGCACTGCAGCGAGATAACCTGGCGGGGCCAACCTCAGCAAACCGCGCTCATCGCTCGCCGGCCAGGAGCGCTCGAGCGGCTCATCGCTCGCCGGTCTCGCCGGTCTCGGCGCCCTCTGCGCCGTGCCTCAGGGTCTCGGCCCAAAGTGACTGGCTGGTTCTCTACCGTGCTCACTTCAACTTGGGTTACCTACCTACAGGTCCCCCCAAGCGCAGTGCGCCTGTTGTAAATAGGCTAACACCTAGGATACTAACCACATACTAATCTGGCCGAACGCCCAAGTAGTGGGAGTCGGATATTATTTCCGGGTTTCTTCGGTGAACCACTACCCCAAAAAAGATCAGGGCGCATGCTCACTTCCGAAGTGGATTGGCCAAAACAAGTCACTAAACTGCTTGTTTAAAACGAAGAGGGTCTTCCCCAACAAATTAAAGTGCCGAAGCAACAGATTCTCCAACGACCATTGCTTGTGGCTTCCCTCAAGGATGCCTAGGTTCGTTCCCCATATTTTTTGTGTGAGGACCGGCAAGTGGCACGGGCCTACTCTCCGCCAGGCTGGGAGTGATCCTAGGATTTATTTGGGATGCTGGAGGTGGAAGGACAAATTATCCACTTCGCACCACTGGAATGGATCAAAGCCTTTTCGGAGGGGGAAAGACCGCCAATTTCACCTGGTGCGGGGGGTTTCATCCATCAACAAGCCTCCATTTGCTTAAGTCCCCCGGGGAAAAAAAAACAAAAAAACATCCAGTAGTCCAGCAGTGATGGATTCCCTTTAAGACCAACGGGGAAAAATTAAGAAATGCTCATTTCAGCAAAAATTTGGATTCAGACGCACACTCTCCGAGAACGAGCAAGGCAACCATCCTTAGATGAACATCCAGTCAGTTGAGTCGTAATCAACCTGGAGTTTTCGAAGGCGTCCCTCATAAGACAATAAGCCCCCGTCGGCCCGACCCTGCAGTACTTAGTCAACTGAGTTCTTTGTGGAAACCCCCAAGCTGACTGGGCCAAAACCCACAAAAGCAGATGAAAATCAAAGTTTAAAACCGACAAAAGCATATGAAAATCAACATACCCCTTAAAACTCCAAGCCCTGGGGAAGTTAATTTTACAGACATATAGCCCATGTTACCCAAAAAGTTGAAAAGTTGTGTTTTCAAGAGGTAAGTCAAAGTTTAACTGCGCTTTGCCTCTAGCATTCCCGAAAAGTGTGCAATTGTTTCGCTTGTGCCTCTGGCCCAAACATTTCCCCAAAAGAGGTGATTCACCTCTACGAACGGGTTGCGACAAAAAGTCGGATGCATGTCATGCAGTTCAAATCTTTGGTTCAGCAGGTTGGGTACCAGTTACACAGAGATAGCCCAACTCAGTCAAAAATCAACCCATGAGCCAATAGCCACATGTGCAGAACCTGGTCAAGCCAAATGCACAGATTGGAAAACCTGGCAACAACATAATACCCTGAACCGGTTTCAGTCGGGATCGCAATGAATCACGATAGTCGGTTCCTGCAAGACACTTTTCCTTCAGGGACCCTGTGGTGGAATTCATGATGTTCGACAGTAGTGGGCACCCCCACCTTCCCCCCCAAAAAAAAACATGTTACTGGGTAGGAGGCGAACCCCCCTCCAAACAACCCCCCCCCCCCCCCGCAGGAGGCAAAATCGGGCAGAAAAAATGGCCAAGACGCATCACCATCTGCGCTTCGGCTTCGGCCTCATCTGCTTGGCTCAGCGCGTTGCCGCTCCTCGCTTTCTGAAAGGCGCGCGGGTCGGGTTGGGTCCTGCGGGTACCGGCACCAAAATGTTCTACCCAGAGCCATGTGAAGAACTAAGAAGGCGGAGATCCGCAACCATGATTGTGGCTCAACTGCGGGAGGTGGCGAAATCCGCTCGCACCACTTGGAAGCCATGGTTGAAACCCGAAGGTTGGCTGGCATTTACAGCCATCAGAAACCAGGGGTTCTTAGGTGGTGCGAAATGGAGTTCGTCCATCCACAGTATGAAATGGTTAAATCATGGCCCGCTTGAGGGAAGCTCGCTTGAAGCTGGCCTAAGGGGTGACGCTTAAAGCCTCAAAAAGAGACATGACAAATAGGGCCCCAGTGGTGACCGGTGCGCAGGTGATAACCAGGCAACTACTCACTTTCTAACTTTCCCGAACACGGCCGTGAGGAATGGAACCCACGAATCTGTGATACAACAGAAAGGGCCTAACCCCAAAGACTACTATCTTCATATAAAACAAAATGGCGCCACAGAAAGCCAGAAGGGGGCCGCGACGCTTGGAACGACCAGTTCGGCCGTACTGCCCCCCCATGCGTTCAACCAGGAATCCCGCTATTCAGACCGCGGAAAAGCGGCAAGGAAATGCCGTTTCTGAACGGAATGATGGGTGAAAAGAATACAAGTCCAACATCCTCAGAACAATCACGGTGTCAACTTTTGAACAAGCAAGCAAGCAAGCAAGCAAGCAAGCAAGCAAGCGAGCAAAGCAAAGCAAAGCTTTAAAGCAAAGCAAAGCAAAGCAAAGCAAAGCAAAGCAAAGCAAGCAAACGACAAACAAACAGGCAAAGAAGCAAGCAAGCAACCAAACAAACACCAACAAACAAAACAAGCAAGCAAGCGCGAACAAACCAAACAAGCAAGCAAGCAAGCACGCAAGCAATAACATGTAGAGGTTGAGCCGAGGCGCATGGTCGTGAGCCGCATGGACTCTGCCAAGGGGCTCAGCAGCTGGACCTCTCTCTCCTCCGGGCCGCGCAAGTTTGATCTCACGCGAGAACCAAAGGGGACCTGGGGACCTGAAGACCTGAAGACGTGAAGACCTGAAGACGTGAAGACGTGAAGACCTGAAGACCTGGGGACCTGGTTGAACCCGAAAAGGAGAAACTAAAGGCAGATTGATCCGGTCGATTTGGGCAGTGAGTGGTAGAAAAATGGACCCTCCTTTCTTGCGTGTGAAGGCCGACTTAGTTGGCAGTTGCCCTGGTCTGTCCACTCCAAACATGTAAACACCTGGCCCCCATACCAGGAACAAACTCATCCATTTGCAGCACAGGAAGTCTTGGAAGACAAGTGTCCTTCAAAAAAATTGACCTTCCGGCCCCTGAGCCCCATGCTGAGGCGACGCGAATGAAAGAAAGGAGGTTGGTGTCCTTTTTGGTGTTGCTTTAAAACCACCCCAAAGAGTTGGCCCCAAACGCCCTGCCCGGCCTCCCCCGATATACCGGAGACGCTCCGCACTCGATCGCTCACGCTTTGGCCGCTGTGGCCACTGTGGCCGCTGTTGCCGCCGCCTGCGGCGGGGTCGTGGAGTCGGAGGGGGAGTGCGGTGCGGCCAGGGTGGGTGGGACTTCATCGCTGAGTCCAACATGTTTTTCTTTTATCATGATTCTTCGGAGAATGAGGCGTGTTGTGCGACCAAGCACGTCTGGTTTGCCGCAAGGGTTAGGGACACCCAAAACGGTGTTTGTCCTGTTGGTGTTCCTTTGAAGCCACCAAAAAAAATACTTCGCTTCGAGCAATCCCCACCCTCCACACTCACGAGCTTACGACCGTGAACGCAGTTGCGTGAATTCAAGCATAGTTGTTCGAGTGGCTTGGGGCCTTATCCACCTGTCTGTGCGTCAAACTCCACTTGTCTGCGAGCTGATCTCGAGAACTCAAACATCGGTTCCGTTAACAAAAGCCAAGCCCCTTCCAAAAAGAAACCCGAAGGGGGATTAAACGAAGTTTCTTATTCACAGCCCAAAGCAACACAAAAGCATCACTTTCCGAGCCTCAGGGTACACTCAAAACACGAAGGCAGCCCCACTGTGCGCCGGGCGGGACATTAAGCAAAACCAGACTGGCGAGCTGCTCTGGGGACACTGGCGGGATCCACTGGCGAATAATGGCGAGCCGCTCCGGCTTGATACTGGCCGGATACTCGGCACGATCCACCAGCAAGGGATACTCAGCGGGATGCTCGGCGGGATCCACTGGCGAGCCGCTCTGGCCGGATACTCGGCAGGATCCACCGGCAAGGGATACTCAGCGGGATACTCGGCGGGATCCACTGGCGAGCCGCTCTGGCGGGATACTCGGCGGGATCCACTGGCGAGCCGCTCGGCGGGATACTGGGCGGGATCCACTGGCGAGCAGCTCTGGCGGGATTCTGGGTGGGGGCGTGGTGTAGAAGCATCGCAAACGCGGATTCCAACATAAAATCTAACAACCCCTTCCTGTCGGGTGGGGAAAAACAGACCCATAAGTCATAAACCTTCTAAAACTCCAACAAATCATCTAAAACGTCTCAGGCACCGTCTGCCTCTTCCCCCCCCCCCCCTCGCCTGCGCTGCGCAGGGAGCTCTGCCGCTCCAGGGTCGGGCGCCGGTAGGAGCCCTGCCTGGAGATGGGTGGCGTGCTGGGCGGGGAGTTGCCTCAGAGTCGAAACGATGCGGCGGGGTGTGGAGGTTGGGGGTGGGTGGGGAGGGTGGGTGGGGGAGGGGGGGGCGGGGGAGGTGGGGCGGCGGGTGGGCGGGGTGCGGCTATGTGGCAACCGGCAGTTCCATATTCATGTAACGGATGGAGGTTGGGCCTGCTGTGAGGCCTCAAGGGTTGAATTTGGGTTTGTTGTTCGGTTGCCTTGTTGGGGGTTAGAGGGAAACCCCGAAAGAAGAGACGCACCCATACCCGGTGTTTGTATTTTGTTGTTGCATTTGTTTTTCTGCTGGCTTGGTTTTAGAACCGGAAACCAACAGGACACCAACGATTTTTGGGATGTGCCAATGCATTTCAAGAGTTGCCACCGATCCCAGATTGCCTTGTGGACATCACCCCCCACCGAAAGGTCCCCTAGCTTGAGCGGCTACATAATTCGCGCGAGGGTTGGAAAACCAAAGGAAGAAAATGTGATTAAGCATTCAGCCCGTTACGCATAAGGGGCGAAAGTAGATGGCAAGATTTTTGGTAGGTGGGGGCAAGGTCTAAGGAGACCCCCCCCCCAAAAAAAAAAAACAAGAAGAAGGCTTTGGCAGCAAGCCTCTGGCTATCAACCTCGGGTGAACTCCAAGATCTAGCTCGCAAGGGGTGGACATGCCACGCCCCAACAGGCCATGCGTAGAAGTGTCCCAAGGTTCGGAGAACCCGGGACCAAAGCCTTACATGCTTGACTTTCACAAAGCCGTGCTCAAGTTGCCTTGGTAAATTCGTTTTCACCTCCTTGCAATTCTCGCGCATCCACCCTAAGGATGCCCAAACACAGCACTCGCCCGCTTCCCGGAAAATGAAATGAAGGCGAAGGGGCCCCGAGACACGATGGGCGAGGCCGTCGGCGAGTGAGCCGCGCGCTGCTCCAGGAAAGTGTCGTGGTGGAGGTTGTCCTACAGCCCAGGCTGGGCTGTTCAAAATGGAGGGGTCGCCAATCCTAATCCATTCCCATAGAGAAACCACTCGAAAGGGGACCGGTTCCTTGCGAAACCCCAAGGATTAAGGATCAAGGAGTTGCCTTTGAACAGCGCAGAGCTGGTCCCACTGATGGTTGCGGCCTCCGCTGCTCGCACCGCCCTTCGTTCTGATCCGATCAGCTGCCATTCCCAGGAACTCATGGAAGGCCGGACCCAGCGAACTTCTGCCCCGCCCCCCCCAGGGATTGTCTTTTTTTGTCTCCACTCTCCGCGCAAAGTGGAGAGTGGAAATTGATTTCGCCCATCTGCCATATGTTGCAACCACGGCTGGCAGCGCGCGCTCACCAGCCCGAGGGGTCCCAACATCAACTCAGGAAACTCGTCTCGGCAAGAGGTGATGCTGGCTGAAAAGAGAAATGGGCGGCTCGTCTTCTCCTTTGTCAGGGTACGTTTCGGTGCGATACCCAAAGCTGAAAACCATCATGGGGGTCCCCGAAAAGAAGCCACACCCAAATATTATTCAGACCCCTAAGCTAACACACACACACACATACTATCTGCGAAACCCTGGAATGAGGATTCCCCTGTAAATACCAACCAACCAACGGCTTCTTATGGAATCTTGAATGGATTTCCTCAACAGGGGTACCAACCTTGCCGGCGTAATCGAAATTCAAAGGAACCCTATGAGTCCCATGAGTTGATTCTCCCACCAAATGCCAAGCAGCGGCTTTCTTATGGATTCTTAGGTGCTTGGTTGTTGCTGACCCCCCTGCAACAAGCTTAACTTTTTGTGGGTTTAATGGAGAACCCCAATTGATTTCAACCAAAAGTTAACTTCTAAAGATCCAACCCAATAGCAGTCAAGGGTGGATTCTCGGTTGCTTTCTGCTCCCCTGCTAAAAGTTTAACTTTTAGTGGTCTAATGGAAAACCCATTAGTTGGCAAAAAGTTAGAGTCCTAACATCCCTTGGCAAAATGCGCCAAAGCTCAGCAAACACACACACACACAGACACACATCATACAGAACATAGGGAGTGATGATGTTGATTCCATGTTTGGGCGGGGAGCCCTCCATTTGGCAAAATGCGCCAAAGAAGCAGCCTTACGCCTTACGAGGAAAACCTCCGCGCCAGGTGTCCCACAGCACCACTCGCGCCAAACAAAAACAAAAACAAATCGCAAACTGCTTTCTCTCCTCATCCAGCCAGGGGGTGCGCCAGGGCATCAAGCTCTTCCGCGTCAGCACCCCGATGGGCCGGTGGCTCGTGTCCACCACCACCACGTGCCTGGCAGGCAGGTGGTACCCAGCGCGCGCTGGCTGGCTGCTACCTGGGTGCCTCTTGCCCGCAACTTGCTTCCATTTGCTTCTTCGCCCCCTGGAAAAACAAAAAAGATGTCCGGAAGTGATAGATCCCGTTTAAAACCAGCAAGGGAAAAGATAAAATGTTCTTGAGCAAATAGATGCCTGCCTTTTTCATAACAACTGGAGGGTTATTGGTTACCGCGCAAGGGTGTCCCGCCACTACCCTCCATATCTCCCCCTGGTTCGCGTAGAGGGTAACTGGCACCAATCCGTCATTGTTTGTGACAGGTTTGTGAGAAAATAGTCATGTTCCGAAAAGTTGACTGGGCTATCCGTTGTCTGGTCCTCTGCAAAAAAAATCAACTTGTGGGTTAATAGAACCTCTCGCTAAACCCTAAAAACCTAAAAACCTACGGGGACAACTGGAAACCGCCAAAGTGAGGGTTAAAGATCCAACCCAACAGCATTCACGCAATCAGAATCCAAATTCAGTCAGGATCATACAAAAACTTGTGGGTCCCTTTGTTCCACCCCTTGCATAAATCTTCCAGGTGTGCATTGTTCCCGCCGGTTGCAGAAAAGGCACAATGTTCAGTCCTTTGGTCGAAAGAACGCTGTTTCACTGCAAAGGTGTTGTTTCAAATTTAGCGGAAACCACGGTCGGGGATTGTCGCCGTTTGGTCAGGGAAAGTCGCCGTTTCGCCTTCATGGATTTGTCCCAGAAACGTAAAATAGTGAAACGTGCCTGGAGACAGAAGGCCGTTTGTCTGAGAAAGCAGCTTTTCACGAAAAGGCGTGAGAACAATCCACGCTTCTGTTTGCCGCAAGCACCTAAAGTACCAAGTCAGGCAACTCCGGGAGTGAGATCCTGGTGCATGTTTGAGGGTGCTGCCAGAAGCAACGCCACCGTTCTTTCTGTTCTTTATTAGCATTATTATTATGACTATCTTTTTTCGGGGGGGAGGGAGCAGTGAGAACCAATAGCACGCAGACTGTGAGAACCACAAAACGGTCCCTAACTTGAAGACGTAGAGTCCCCCCCCACTCCGTGTGCTATATACATCCAAGTTAACAGCACATACGGCATGGAGGTGAAAGCGTCCTAAATGGATGCAGACCCCCATAAGAAAGGAGGATGGGGATGTGGAAACAGCATGACATGATGGCAGAAAATATGTGGCTTTGCCGGCTTTTGACAATTTCATTTGACGTACCACTTTGCAAACCTGACCCCCAATCGGCCCCAAACAGTTGTTTCAGGGGAAGCCCTCATTAACCAGTCACCATTAATCAGTCACCCCCCCCCCACAAAAGAAAAATCCTCCTTGTGTGGGAGATGTGCTTGCACCACGCCTCAAGCCGCAGCGGGCGAAGAGCATGTGGGCGTGGTTCACGGGAGTGGAGGCTTGCACTACAAAGGGCGCAGAGTCCATGACGTCCTCAACAGGCGAGGCGAAATCCGCCCGCCGCGTCACTCAACTTGCTGGTGACCCTGGTGCTCAGCAGGGAATGAGGGAATGACCCCTATAAACCATCCACTATGAGTGTCCTTATGTGCCCTTTAAGGGAATTTTGCCAGGTTCATTCCCTCATTCCCTGAAATGCAGCAAGTCAAGCAAACTTAAGGATTGACTTTGAAACCAAGAGGTCTCCAGCGCAAGGAACCCATGAATTCATCTGTCCTAGGACTTCTTGGTGGCTCCGAAAGGCTTCCTGGGGCACAGCTCCAGAAGGGCTCCCTTGCCAACAGCTAGTCAAAAAGGCAAGCACTTGGACTCGTCTTGAGGCCCTCTTTCAAAACGCTTGAGCAAGCTTCTCGCTGTCCCATTGGGGAGACTATCACCTTAGCCAAGCAGAAAAGGGGAACCCAAGCAGAGAAGGGGAACCTTTCTGGGTGTCAAGGGATGGCATGAAATGCCAACCCAAGTGACCAAAGTGCTGAGAAGTTGAATGAAACCTTAGCCCCCCACCTCATCCCACCCCCACCCACCCTTAAACCCCCACCCCCCCACCCCCCCCGAAAAATAAATGTCGCCTCCACGTTCTCCCCGGGGATGCTGGGCGCCAGCGCCTGGCTGAAGCTGCGGGACCCCGCCGGGCGCGAGGCCCGGAGCTTCAGCAGCCCCACCTCGGGCCGCTTTGCGAAGCGTGTCCGATGCTTGGCTCGGGCGGTGGCTTGTCTGGGCGGAATTTGTGGCTTGAAACCAGGTGGCTGAAACCATGCTGAAACCAAGTGGTTTGGAGGGGGTCCTTCCGCACGTCAGGCGCTTCGCCGCTTCCGGGCCGGGCGTCTCGCCGGGGGGGCTCGCGCTCGGTGGTGTTTGGGCCAGCCACGGGAGTCATAAAATCAAACCGATGGGTACGAAAAAAACGGAGCAGCCAGAACCAGGTAAAGAATTAACAAGGCTTGGGTGAAATTGATCCAAGGAGCCGGTCTCAAGTGTCCGATGTTTGGCTCGGATGTGACTTTTCCGGCAGGAATTTGTGGGTTGAAACCAAGTGCTGGTTTGGACCGGGAAAAAACGACCTCCCTCCTGCGGTTTTGGAGCGAAAAGATCAAACATCCAACACTAATTGTTGGGGTGACGCTCTTCTAGCTGGTGGTCGCCTTTAAAGAGCTTCCAGGAGTTCTGCAATGACACGGTGCTTGGATGTTCGGCCAAGTAAGTGGTTACCTACCTGGGTAACCCACTAACAGGGTTGACTCCACGTGTTTGGGGGACTCAAAATTCATGAGGTCAAGCACGGTTCCAAAAAATGAACCCTGTTATTGTGGCGGACGGCTTGCTACCCTGGTCTCTTGCACGGAAATAGCCGCAACAAGCTAAACCATGCCGCACATAGCTGTCCTGCTAGTTCATTCGCTGGCACGCCAGACCCATACATTTTCAAAGATTCCAAAACTTCCGCAGTCTGCCAACTCTGCGAAAAGTTGTCTCCCGGGGTCTGACTGGAGATCTAATTCCTAACTGGCAAATAGCAGAGCTCCTTGCACATTTGTCCAAAATGCACATTGTCTAGGCAATCTATTCTTTTATTCAAAGGACATGCCGTCGCTACAATTCAGCGAGAATATTACATTGTACCCTCTTTCTTGGGCGTACCCTCCTCCAATACCGCGAGCTGACAGGAGAGCTTGGGAGGACTATGTTCGTTTTAGGGAAGTGCCCTAAAACCCCACTTTGAGTGGACAAATGCTGATTCTGCAACAAAAGGTAAAGTCTAAACATGCACCATATACTGGAAATAGCAGCCAAGATTCATGTTGACCCCGGAAGAATCAACCCCGGAATCATCAAACCCTGCTTATTAATATGGGGGTGTCCCTACCCCCCTATTAATAAAAACTGGGCTTGATCCATCTGGCGGCACTGGGACCCGGAGAACTCCCAAATCCACTTCGAAATCGCGCGGAGAACCTCCCCTTGCTTCGGCCCGGCGAAGGGGCCAGCGCGTCGCGGGTGGCCAGCCCAGAGAGCTGACCGTTTTGGTCCACCACGGGGAAGCCGTGGACCTGCGTCTCCTCGGCTCGAGGCGAAGCCAGCGACCGATGATCTCGGCGAGCATAACTCACTTCCGATCGAGCGGATGGGCCAAGAAACGTCACAAAATCGTTTTGGACTCACAACTAACATGATCTTTGCAAAATCCAACTTGTTGTTTACCACTGAAACGGCCTTCGCAAAAAGTTCAAAGTCCATGAACTCAGGGAGTGAGGTAACTTGCCGTAGATCTGTGCAATTAAGGGGACAAGGATCCCCTGCGATTTGCTGCAGTTTGCCGTGGTTTGGTGATTGGGTGCGGTGGGTCTACTTGCAAAATCTAGGCCACGGCAACGGATCATTCTTTAGGAACTGCAAAACATATGTCCAGTAGCGATAGATTCCCGTTGAAGCAAACAGAAGAAACATGAAACCGACATTCTTGAGCGCATGGACGAAAAAGCAAGCTCGTCCCAAGAAGTGACTCTCCCGAAAAAGGTCTTCAGTTTGGAAAACAAACAAATAATAACATATGTCCGGTAGTGATAGATTCCCTTCTAAGCCAACAGGGGAGAGAAGAAACAAATATCCTTGAGCAAATGGAAGCTTTCCCCCGGTCTCAACAAGGGCTTCAAAGCCCCGATCTAAGCCAAGCGAAGGGATACCCAAGCGAAGGAAACGAGAAAGGATGGCCTGGGCCCAACCACAACTCCATAACAAGAAAGTGCCAAAAACGGCCAAAAACAAAAAACAAACGACTTGCCCACTGCCAAACAATCAGTGTTGAAATCAGTGTGTGCTGCGTCCTTGGTGTGGTTTTCTGTAGTGTTGCGTTGTTGTTTTTTCAGGAATGTCCTTTTGGTTGGCTTTAAAGGGATTCCAAAAGGAAGCCCGCCGTTTCTTACTGGGCTGTGTGTGTTTACATCCCCATCTGAGTTTGACTAACTTGTGGTTTAAATACGGAACCCTAACAACCAAACCAAACCTAAAACCACTTAAAACCCAAGGTTACCGGAAGATTCGCTGCTTGAGCCGCCAAGTTTACTTGCGGGTGCTCAGCAAAAATCGAGGGAATGAACCTGGGGCCCTACAGGAAACCACAATGTATGGTTTATAGGGGTCATTCCAAGACTCTCATTCCCTACTGAGCACCAGCAAGTTTTAAGAACCGAAAGACCCCCAAAAGCGGCCGCTGAACGTGACACCGGGCGTCATCGCCCGGGAGGCGCCGCTCCAGGGCGTCGGTGACCTAAGCCCCCCCCCGATTTCATGGAGGAGGTCCGCTGCCGAATACTCGCTTCCCCGGTGGATCGGTCAAAACAAGCCGACTTGTCATTTACCATATGAAATTCCCAAAAGTGTCTTGCCAAAAAGTGTCCAAGTCCATGAACTCGGGGAGTAAGGTTTAGGGGGTTTTGGGGGTTTAGGGGGTTTGGGGAGGTTAGGGGAGTTAGGGAGGTTAGGGGAGTTTGGGGGGTTAGGGGGGTTACGGGGGTTAGGGGGGGTAGGGGGGTTAGGGGGGAGAATAGCAATCAAGCTCAGCCATGCACGGCGTTCATACGAAGCAAACCCGCCAAAGGCCTCCGCGTCGTTGGCGTGGCGAGACAGGAGGATGAGCTGCGGAAACTCGGCGTTGGCCGTGCCGTCCTGTAGGAGTCCCTTGAGACCGAGACCCACAAGCCCCGAAAAAGATGGGCCTGTCTTTTTCTAGGGTACCGGGGTACCCATGTTGGTTGCAAATGGAATTCAACATAAGAACCACCATATTTCACTCCCCCCTTGTTGTTGGTTTTTTTGGGGGGGCGGGGGGCTCCCCTAAAGCAAAGGCGTCCATGGTTTTTCGGGGATTCAATCATCATGGGCAGAAGATTTGTCTGTTCGACTCTTTTCGGCGGGCGAAGCAAGGCCTCCAGGAACCCAAGATCACCTAAGGGACCTCCTTCCCAGGCGCTCGCATTTCCGCCCCTATAACAGCAAGAGAGGGCTAACCCCCAAGCAAATATCATAGACTCCCCCCTATGGTTTTCACCCCATTTAATAACTGCCCCCCAAATCAACCATACCAAAACCATAACGAGCTTAGGGGTAAGCCCCCTGTCCCGAAAAAAACCACCAAACAACAAACCACACAAAAAACCAAACAACCGACCATGCAAAGAACAAATACAAAACCCCTTCCTCCCAAACAAACAAACTACACAGAAACAAACAAGACACGAACAATTACATAACAAAGCAACTTACCAACGAAACGACCGTTGGCTGTCCGCCGTGCCGCGCCACGCCTACATCTTGGACAACAAGCACAGGCGGGGCGGTTGGGCACGAGAGATTTGAAGTCGACAGCGAGTTGGTAGATGATGTTGCTTGGTGATTTGATAATGTAGCAATCTGGCACAAGGCGTTGTCAAGCGACATTTTCGTGCTATGGCTGTGTTCTTTGTGGCTTCGGATGGTGGCCTCAAAGCATTTCAGGCGAGTAATGGGCAAATCATTGCCAACCTTGATGACCTTGAAGTTGAGAAGCCCAGTGTAGATGTGCTGATGAAGATGACGAAAGCGGAGATGCTGGGCTTGATGAAATCCATGGGTTGTTCAATGACCAACTCCAACAAGGCCGATAAGCTGACAATTGCCAACAAGATTGTCGAGCACTTCAAGTGGATGAAGGGTAATTTGGAGAAGAAGAAGGCAACGGCAAGTGGTGCGAAGAGCAGTCAGGACACCAGCAACGACAAGTCCGAGAAGGACAGCGATGACGAGACCAAGGAGGACGGCGACAAGGGTGATAACATCATTCGCCTCATGGTCATCATTCTTGACGAGCGCGAGGGTGCTAAAACAGACTACATGCAGACTTGGCTTCGTATCAACAAGCGTTTGAGCATTTCAAGTCTGCTGGTGATGATTGGTGAGAAGTTCGTGAATGACACCAACCACAAGAAACTCTTGGTCTTCAAGGGTGAGCTGTTGATTGACCTTGTCAAATCCATTGAGGCGGTTGGCATCAAGAATTACGATGAAATCCGTTGTCGCCTTCTTCCAGAAGACAGCAAGGAGTTTGAGGAGGTGATGATGGGCTCTTCCCTTCATCGCGGGGGGCATCTTGACATGGATGACAAGTCTGACAAGGACAGCGAGAAGGAGGACAGTGAGAAGTCCGAGAAGGACGAGGACAAGGACAAGTCTGACAAGGACAGCGAGAAGGAGGACAGTGAGAAGGACAGTGAGGAGGGCGAAGACATCCGGCCAATGTTTGAGCCCAATGAACCGCAATGGTCTGAGGATGATGAGAAACGCCTGAACATCCTTCGGAACTTGAACTCCAACACTGCTGTCTTTATCGACCATGATGTCCAGATGCGATTGGAGAACAAAAAGCGCGACTATCAGATGAACGCCTTGTTCAAGAAGGAGGCCGATGGGACAATCGCCATCAACATCAAGGGTGAGAACACGACGCCCATGGAGTTGAATGTGTCGACCAAGAATGGTTCTGTCAAGCTGGTGTTTAACTATGAGGTTGGGATGACCGGCGAGCAATTGTTTGACGCCATGTCAGACTTTGGGATGGACACACAGCTCTTCAATGTCAAGTTTGCAAGGACAGCGTCTGTCTTGCGCAAGTATGACAGTTTGGACGCCTACAACACCCAGACCTTTGAGATTGTGCCAAAGCTCCATGGCGGTGGTGTCATCAAAAAGCAGAAGCATGTGAAGCCCGCTGATGCCTTCAATGCGTTCAAGAAGAAGGTTGTTGCCAATGTCCTGAATGAGGGCAGTGCAGATTTCACATTCACTGGTGTCCCTCCGGAGGTTGCCAGTTTTGCCCAAGGTATTGCTGATGCCATCAACCAGATCAAAGTCTTGCGGGCGCAGAATGTGGCGGTTGTGCGTGCAGGATTGATGCAGGTGCAGGATGATGAGTTGAAGCAGTTGAAAGAGATTATGGCGATGCCTCGCTTTGGCAGAAGAGGTCAGATTGAGGAGCGCATCATCAAAGCAACTTGGGTGCTTTTCCCGAAGATGGTGGATGTGGAAAACGCCAGCATTGCCATCACCGCATTGCAGAACCATGTGCTTTGTGAGATGGCAACCATCTTTGCCGAGGAATACCATGCCAGTGTGGGCGGGTTATATCAAGTCAGTGCCGAGGCGTTCATCAAGCATGTAGATCATGAGGAAACACGGCGTGACGCCATGCGTGCCAGTCAGCAGGTGGCAAATGTGCAGAACACCCAAGGTGGTGCCAATCAGTGTGCCTTGATGTGATGGGCAAACTGCCCCTCCAAGTGCGTGTCATGGTGCAATTTGGGACTTAACGCCGCACCCAAAAAAATGGGACTCTCGCACCCAAAAAAATGGGACTCTCGCACCCAAAAAAATGGGACTCTCGCACCCAAAAAAATGGGACTCTCGCACCCAAAAAAATGGGACACCCTCCCCCCCATCATTTGAGCAATGCATTGCACCATGGATGCACTCATATTTTGCAGTGTTCTTTGGTCTCTCTGCCAGACAGTGCAGGGGCATCGGAGTGCCAAAAAGTGTTGTTTTTGACAGATTGTTCAAGGGTCTGATGTTGATGTTTGCATTTTGGTCATGTGTCCTTGTGTGATTGACTGGTGAGGTGAGGCAGGTTGAGGTAGGTTGAGGCAGGTTAGCTTTGAGGGTCTCCGGGGGCACTGGGTAGGTCGCTTCGCCGTCGCCTTTCCACCACTTCCCCCCCTCCCCACCCCCTTTTTTGTTGTTTCTGTTCCCTGTTTATTTTGCACCGCGCAGGTTGATGACAACGAGTACGGCGTTGGGCACGGAGCCTCCTCGGGCGTTGGGCGCGGAGCCCCCTCGGGTGGTGGGCGGGCGCTGTTGTGTTGTTGCTTTGTTTTTCTTTGTTCTTTTTCTGGGTGGTGGGTGGTATGTATATATTATATAAGGGGAAACTCTCGCCAATTTTTCGTGCCCTGTTTGGCAGTTGGCAAGAGTTTCCTGATATATCTATATATATATATTGGTGTTTTATTTATTTTATAAACTGTAAATACTCCCCTTCAAATTCATTATTTTCAAGTTTAAGTTTCATAATTTTTACTCTTTTGTCGTTGAACGAACCTGCAAATTTCAAGTTTCAACACCAACCCCAAACTGGTTTTCCTTAATCCGTCAAACTAACCAGTATCTCACAAATCAAGTCAGCAGGTATTTTGTATAAATCTTCTTGCTTATGCTTTACATAATTCTCGCCCCAATTTTCCTTACGACCGGATGGTGCCCGTTGTGCAGTTTCAATATGCTTATTATTAACAACTTTACCACAATCTTTTTTACATAAACTTCGGGGTTTCCATCCAGAGGATGTAAAAGGGACTTCGTCCCGTTTCCATCTATCAAGGTTGTTCCACAACCTAGTTCGCTTCCTGTAATTAAATCCATATTTGCAATAGTCAATGTCATTAAACCTTAACCCATTCATAAAAGACTGACTTTTCAATAATCCAGTCTGTGGATTTTCAATAACAAAATACGGCCATCCGAAATATTCAATAATCTCTATTGTTTTTAATACAATACTATTAGCATATTCAATGTTTCTTATTCCTGTTCTTTTTGCAATACTGTATTCTGTGCAAGGTGGTGATGCCCAAATAAAATCAAAATGGTTTCTGTCAAATTGTTTATAATCCCATTCAAGTATATCACAATTAATATCAGCATTTTTCAAATCCAACGATATTACATTAAAACCGAGCGACTTTGCAATAAGTCCAACACTGCCTGTTCCACTAAACATCTCTAATAAATTCATTTATTAGAATGATTTAGATATTTATTATATTAATCCATAAGTTTATATTCATCACCATCTTTCACAATTTTGTAGTATTCTAATGTTTGTTCTTTTGGGTTCTTAATGCGCCCGTTGGACACCATCTCAAAATAAGATTGTCTTTTAGTTTCATGGTCGCCTGAGGGACGCCCTAATCCTTTCTTTTGAAAGATTTTATCCATCTTCTCCTTATCGTCTTCGTTATTGCTTTTAGGTTGGTTTATTTTTTCATCGATATTCTTAATAAGTTCAGTTAATGCTTTAACATTCTTACTAATAATTACAAGTTTTTTCATTAAATCATTAATTGTAGAATCACCATTTTCTGACATTTCTATATATAAATATTTATATAATTATTTATTTATTTATGCGTTTAACGTGGTGTTAAATCTACTCCTTAAATACTAACTTTTCATCATTTGTTTAACAGTTTCTTGTGTTTCGTTATCACCATTTTCCGATAGTGTTGCATCCTTACCCCATTTAAAAGTTATATTATGAGCATCGGTTTCCAAATTAATACTGTCTTTGGTTTTATCAATATTCATTTTCTTATCATTTTTAGATATTTTGAATCCTATTGGCACACAACTACATTTACAGTTTCCTTTCTTTTCTATTGATAATTCATTCTTCGTCTGTAATATTTTTTTACACATCGGGCAAGCGAACTCAATAACTGATGTTTCTTTAACAATTTCTTCTTTATCTTCATCTGTTGAAGATATAGCTGGTTCTGTCTTATTCTTTTTGATTTGTTCCTTCCCATTTATATAACAATTTATATTTTTATTTTTGATATATTGTATTCCTAGCTTAAGTATTTCTAATGAATAATAACAACATTTTTTTTATTTTATTGTCAGTTATTATTACTTGCTCTACTTTCTCTACTTCATCTATTATATTAATATAATCTGAATAACTTCTATTCATATTAAATAATAAGATAAATTATTTTTTCATTTCTGTCTTTCTTTTCTTATAAAGTTTTTTCATAGTATCGTCTTTATTCCATCTCTGTTCTACAAATTTCTGATGATGTTTTGAATTTAGATGTTTAAATAAATATTTGTCATCATAAGTTTTACCACAACTGCAATGGATAATAGCCATATAAATAATAGGAGAAAATTATTTACAATTAATCTTATTATTTTCATGCATGATAGAATATTGATTGGGGCACAGCACTTGGAGTTTTCATTTCAATTCTTCAAACTAATTAGCTTCAATGCTTACTGATTGAAGCAATGGAAACCTGTTCCGTTTTTATGATATTCACTACCAGCATATCATAAAAATGATGTTCCATTTAATATTAATTACAAGTTAATTTTTAAATATAATTTTCTATATTTCATTAATATCAACTATGACAGATGTCCCAATAATAAAACAAATAAACATAACTGATTATGAATTCAAACAATCTAAATATGAGCACGTGCCAAAACTACCATTTAGAAGTATTATAGTTGCGAGTTCGACAGGCGGCAAAACGGTCTTGGTTCAGAACCTTATCTTAAAATGTTTATAGAAATTCATTTGCAAGAATATTTATATTTTCCCCCAGCGTTCATAATGACCCAACTTTTACAGAAGTAAAGAAATATATTAGGGATGAACTACATGTAGATGATGAAAAAGAACAAATTTATTTTGATAATTATAATCCAAGTGATTTAGAAAATGTAATCGAAAGACAGAAGAAAATTATTAACTATATGAAATCTAAAAAGATAAAGAAACTGCACTCAATATTAATCGTTATAGACGATCATGCCGACGATCCTAAATTTGTTAGATATAGTAAATTATTACATGGATTATTTACAAGAGGTAGGCACGATGCAGTAAGCGTAATTTGTTCAACACAGAAATATAATGTGTTGGCGCCTATCATTCGTTTAAATGCCAGTTCATTATATATTTTTAGGTTGAAAAATGCCAGTGAATTAATGAGTTTTATTGAAGAAAATAGCGCCATTGTTGATAAACAGCAATTATTAGATATGTATCATCAAGCCGTTAATGACGCACCTTATAGTTTCTTCTACGTGAATATGAATGCTAAAGACATTAACAAAATGTTTCATATCAGATTTGAACAGGCATTTCAAATTAAAAATGATGAATAAAGATATTCTAATTTAATATAATATAATAATATGGTTATAAAACAATGTAGATGTGGTGGATTTTATCGTAGAGGTAATTATAATTTTCATACTAATTCTTGGATACATAAACTTTATAAGGTATTGAAAAGAAGGGCAACAGACGAGGAATTATTACGATTTCAAAATATTTTTGTTGATGAAGAAGATTTAATAGATGATAGATGTAGCAATGCCTCAACGAAATTACCCGATAGTGAAATGACAGATTATGATAGTAATCAATAATATTAATTTGTTTTAATATTATTAATTTAAAATAATGAATAATTACATAATTGAACAGGTAATTTATATATTAATTTGTCAGATTTTTCTTTCTCTAGTTTTTCAATTCGCGTCACACATTCTTGAATAGATTTAATGATTAAAGTATCTGCTCTTGTTTTTTCATCTACTCTTAAATTCTTAATGTCTTCCATACTGTTATTTTCATCGTCTTTACTTTGACCAATACCCATGATATATAATATTATTTAGATTTTAATTTTTCAAAATAATCTTTTTGTTTTTCTTCTCCGTCTTCTTCTTCTTCGTCTTCAGTTGGTGCTGGTATTTCTGTTGGACTTTCAGATGAAGAACTATGAACAGTAATAGGTGGCGAACTATGAACACTAATAGCTTCATTTGATGAATTGCTACTGCTACCTTGTGCATTTCCTGCTGTTATTTGATTAACTAAATCTGCGATATTTATTGTTGTTGCAATTGCGCTGTGCGATAAGTTTAATATGATATCTGCTACTGTAGCGCCGTTGTGTAGCATTATTTCTATCATTTTTGTCAGTTTGAACTTCTTTTCTTCTTCATCGCTGTCATCCTCATCTGGTGGTTTCTTTGGTGGTGGTTCTGGCGGTTTGTTGTTGTCGAGCATTTTAGTAAAGGCTGACACCATTGTGTCGCGTTGGTTTTTCAATGTTTGTGTTGCCTGTGTTCTTGTTGGCTCATTTCTTTTGTATGTGTTGTGCCAAAAGTTTTTAAGCATTATTTTAAACATATTGTCCTGGTTTTCCTTTACCTTAAACGCTTCAAATGTCATATTTAATTGTTGATTTGCATCATTGTATAACTTTTCTTGAGTCTCTCTGGTTTCTGTGGCGATTGTATCTGTGTTGGTTGCAATGTCAATAAATTCTCTCGGTATGCCCTTTTTCATCAATTTCGGTGGTTGTATTGTTGTTGAAGTGTTTGGTTTCATTAGGTTATGTATTGAAAAACTGTCGTCATCATATTTATCATTGAATTTCTGCTTCTTTCTTTTCAGT